AGCTGTTGGAACTGAAGGTTCTGGTGCGCTGTTCTCGCTGGATCTGCTCACATAAAACAACTTAAAAATGGCCCCACTGTGTTAAGACTAAAAGCTTTTGGGGAAGGGGAACAAGGCTTCTTCCCTGGCCTTCCATACTTTGCAGGAACCCCATAAAGTCAGTGCAAACGCTACGCTATACATTTTTTCCCTAACATTTGGTCAACACGACAGTCTACACATTAGCTAGATATAACAGGCAAGATAAAGAAATCCCTCATGGCAAAGCAAGCCTAGCTATTACTTAAAAAAATCACACCTACTACTGTAAGAGTAATATGAAGAAAGTATATTGAAATTATTTTAGGTGGTACTCCAAGATATTCTCTGACATGCATTTTGTCACGTTATTCTGTTCAATAATGTTGCTACAAGTAGTGTATGCAACATACTGGTTACACCAGTATAACTGGTTCTGCAACCAAGTTTTGCTTAAAAAGGTTGAAACCACTTCTCCCTCTTGGAGAATTAAGGAGCCCAAGCCTGGACAAAATTCCATGTTTAAAGTTAGACGGAAAAAAGTACAAAACTGAATTGATAACTTCCATAAATACTGATAAATACACTGATATAAATAATGCTACAACTGATAGAAATGCTGATTTAACTTGGGGTGTTTAGTGACTCACTGCTGAATTAGAGCGAAAGCTGCGTGCACCTGGTCACAACCTGTTCCTACAGCTGGCAAATGGGAAAGACGGAGTTAATCACACGAAGCTGTTCCTAACTCACCATCAGCCTTTAATGTGAACACCGACTGCAAATGCTTAAATAAAACAAAGTGACCAAGCCGCACAATTAAGCAGAGAAACATAAAAAGAAGTGGTGATTCTTTTTCCTTATTTTATTGGGTAAATGATTTAAAAGGTAATAACAATAGTGTTAAAACTACTACAATATCTTTCCACAGCCATATCTCACAGACCCACAGATAACCTTCTATATGTTTTTTTTCCGCTTTTTCCTCATTTTTCTCAATTTTTAAGCCGTACTTATATTAAAATGCCCATTTCAACAGTTTCTTCACACTAATAGCAATTAAATGTGGAAGGAGGGAGGATCTAGTTATAAAGGAAGGGGGTTCAGGAAATCTGTGATATTATTGTAATCAGTCAAGTTACTAAGGAAGGAAGGAGAAGACAGAGGGCTGCCAAGCTACTCCAGGTAGCTCTAAGCCCATTGTGTGTCACCATTGCATTACAGATAACTCAAGATGCTGGTGAACAATTTAATTTTTTTTTTTTGTAACATATAAAACACTAAAATAACTTAGAAACTAGATCCAAATATCTTGAAAAGAATCAACTTTGATATACAAAAACAGTCATAAGTTGTTACAAAAGTTTCAAACAAAAGTTTGTTTTCTCAGTGCGTTTATGTACCAGCGCAATTACTGGGTCCAGAGCAAAGAAAGAGGTTTTTCTTTTTTATTTTTTCTTTAACAGTAATAAAAAACGAGGAAAACATATCTTTGTATATAAAGAATCATTGCTGGTCTTAAGAATAACTGTAACCAGAAACCCTTAAATCTGAGAGGCACACTTTGGGTTTCTCTTTTTTTTTTTTTTTAAAAAACTTTTTTTTTTTTTTAAAACATAAAAGGAAAGTCACCAGTTTATTTAAATGGAGGAGGCATTCACACTCCCCAAATAAACTTAATTCAATTAACATCACTAGCAAAAATCAGTTAGAAACTGTACAAAAATAAAAAAGTTAACATGTTTAATCCTGCAGGGATTTTGTAAGGACTGGAAGGCAGGCTTTAGGAGCAGCATTTGGGCATGGCTGGAGGCTTCTTTGGTTCGATCTAACACACGTAAGAGATGTAACCTACTCCAGACAACAATTTTAAAAACCCGCACATTTGAAGACAAGTAGAGAGGTCCGTATACAAACGCCAGGGTGTGCAAATGGATTTGACTGCCTTGACCGAAGAGGATCTCGGAGGTCAGAACTCTCGTGTGCCCTCCCCCTGCTATGATCGGCATCGGGGTTGAGATGGTGCAAAGTCAGTGCTACAGCAGTCCAGGCAGAAGGAAGGCCACTTGAAGCGTGACTAAGTAACAGTTGCACGTCAAGGCTACGGTTTCGTTGTCTTAACTCAGTTTACGGAACAGAGTTTTTAGGAACATCAAGCAAAAGAATTAAAAAAAACCCCCAACAATCTCTTCAATGAGTAAGGCAAACTGAGTAGTGCTCATAAAAAGTTAACGATTCCAACTTAAAAAACAGTGAAATAAGCTACTTGGTTGTACCTTAACTTCTTATAAAGTACCCCAAATTTAAAACAACAACAAAAAAAGGGTATCTGAACTCAGCAGTATTTCTAAAAGGGTACTAAACATACCTACGAGGGAATGACATTTGTGAAAGCAATTGTTGATCAGCTTTAAGCCAACAGACCTATTCTGTCCCAGTGCATGTCACAGTGAACTGCACGGTTTGTACAAATAAACCCACAATTACACAGAAACAATCCATAGCGTTTTCAGCACTTGCATGCTGAGGAGGTAGGTGCCCTAGAAACACTGTAGATTTTTTTTTTTTTTTTAAAGATTGGAATAAGCAGTCTATCATACAATCTGATTGACCACAGACTCTGTAACAGGCTTTTAATTAGCGATACAAAACTCTGGTCCAGAAGGGTCTGGCATGAACTCATTTCAAAAGCACACCTTTACAGTTTGTATAACACCCTTTTAACTATATTTTTAAGCAACGGCTACTAAGAGATAGACAAAAATGCACTGTGCATTATGCTGTATACAAAAAGGAGACAAAACTATCCTTTTTCCCCCCCAAGCCATGGTGGGAAGTATTGCTGACCTTGTCCTTAAAAACCTGCAGGATTGTTTATTCATCAGTATATCATTATTACACTGGTAAGAAATTCTGTATAACATCTGCATATATCGAAGATTTTTTAAAAAATCTGATATGATTTTAGATCCGCATGACCAGTCACGTGACCTGCTTGAGGTTGATTAGCACCTTTCAATACATATATATTTTTATATATAATAGATCTTTTTAAAAAACTTCTAACAATGAGCTCATACAGAAGCATGAGCGTGCTGTAACGAGATGACAGATAAAGATGGGGTTGGATGACTTTTTTTTTTTTTTTTCTTTTTTGCAGCAGAATGATTCGGTTTGTGCTCAGTTTCCCTATAAGGGCAAGAAAAAACCCAACACAACTCTATCAGGTAGCCACTTGTTCACAATTTCCACTTGACGACTAATCCATTTAAAAGTGTTCCCCAAGTAGAAACAAGACAACAGTATCATCCAAAATAGCCTCTGTATAAACATCTATTAATTTTTGCAGCTTCTGGCTGGCATCTCTTGGCTCCTGAAATTTCAGGCCCTCTGCTTATAAATTAAGGCATCACAACTGAAAACGTTAATATTTGGACATCAAATGCTGTGGATGAAGGAATACCAAAGACCTTCTACAAGAACCTCCAGAGAAATTAAGTGGCAAAGCTAACCTCACCTACGAGATGAGCGTAATTTATCCCTATCTGTGTTCGAAACCCTACTGAAACATTTTTAGAATTAGTCTGATTTTTTTTTAACAACTGAATTTTAATTGATTTTATCTATTTGACTTTTATATAGCTATATATTTACAAACATTCATTATTCAAAATAACTGGAATTTCTGCTTACTGTGGTTTACTCACTCATATTAGGAAGGTCTTTTCTATAATAGACGGCACGTGTTGTCCCCTAGAATACGCACTGCACCACCACAGGTATTAGCGGGAGTCCTGCAGGCACGTGAGCAAGGAGCTGGCTCCTACCACATACCGGGCTTGCAAATATACCACGCATACCTTTTACTAAATCCTATTTTTACAGCAGGAAAAAGTTCCAATCAGTTTTCTTTCTTCTACCGCGTGGAGGGGTATCAGAATTATTACACAGTACTTACAGCTCTCAAGTACTATTCCTGTAATAGATGAAAACATAGAAAATTATGGCATACTTGTCCTGTGCTCTTTTACAACAGTCTTTTTTCTTTTTTAAACAATAGTTAACTTTATCTGACTATTCATGACTTGATAAAATTCAACAAGTTCAAAATAAGAACGAACAAAACAGGGATTTTTCTTTTCCAAAATAGGTTTGTTCAAAAAAAAAAAAATAAAAATCTCACTTTAAAAAAATCCCCCAAAACCTGATGCCAGAGCAGACTTAATATAGTTTGCTAGAAAGTCTGGCGTATTTGCTATATTTTTTCTATGAATTATATATATATGAGTATATAGTTATGTCATAGTCAAAGGCACTAAAATCTAAATCCATTTTCTTCCTAATATGACATCTGCTACTCACCAACCTGTTTTTAAAAAACTCCCAATTTGAGCTCATCAGAAAGGCATCGTCTCATTACAAATGCATCGGTATGACTAGGCTTGGCAGGGCTGGATCGCCCTCGATTCCCAGCACAGAACGGGAGACAAAGGTGTCCGGTAGCCTACTGCACCGCCTCGCGCCCTGTCAGTCAGAGCACTCGATTCTGAAAACGCTGCCGTGTTAACATCACCTCTTGTTGTACACGTAAGTGCTTCTCTTCATCCAAAAAACCATTTTGTATGTCAACCTTGACATTTTGGCTGTGTGTGCTGGATCTGAAGATCATGTATATAGCTACATGAAATCTTTACTGCGGGGGTGAGATATTGTACACACAACATTATTAAGAACGTTATGAAAATGCAATTGTCTAGTATAATACCTGAATCCGATATGTTTCATTCCCCATCACCCCTATTAATGCAAAAGCCATGAATGCCTTTTTGCTTAGCAAAGCATCCCTAACTGTAATCCTTAAACTCTTCCTTCCATCCACAGTCACAGAAAGCCTTGATTGATATAATTCAACGTTAATGAAGTAGAAATTTAAAATTTCATAAAAAACCCAAGGGCTATATATGCTGCAAAAAAATCTGCAGTGACTCAATAATAAAAAAAGTGTGGGATCTTTGTAGTAATGTAGTTTTCCCTCCCGTTGCCACGATGAGCTTAACCAACTAAGAAGCCTCAACATGGCAACGGAAACTATCATCATAAAATGGTACAGTAATAGAGATAGCTAGACCAAGAAGGGGCAGGGTCTCCTGGGAAGAGGTCTGCAGAGAGGTCCAGTGACTGGTCATGCGGCTCAGTGTCAGGAATAATGGTTGTACGGTGGAAGGGGGTGCCCAATACCATTTTGGAAGTGGTGATGCTGACGATGGGCAAGGTACTCTGTGTAGCTCATCGTCATCTTCTCACTACGGTACCTAGAAAAGAGCAAAGAAGCAAAGTCAGGAACTGTTACCAGGAAGCTGTAAGTAGTACTAAAAATACTGCACTAGTGGTACGTTTAGCGGTAGCAGCTCTGTACTTCTGACGTTAGGAATAAGCCTAACTTCAGTTGCACCGCCATGGCTGTCAGGGTCATTCTTGACTCACATGACAAATAAGTGCTTATGAAAAATATTTTAAGCAAACAGAACTGTTACAAATTGTTGCCTACTATGTTGCTCGAAGTAGAAGGAATAGAAACTCGTGATAATGTATTGAGAATGTCCCATATCTTCAGCCCACTCTGTATATAAAACCTGGGAGAAAAAACTGTAAACAAGCACTACAGATTGGACATTTGACTCCCGCCTCCAGGTCATTTATAAAAACATTAAAGAGCACTAAAAGAGAGCCCTGGGGAGCCCCACTGGTGACTGGCCGCCAGCCTGATGTAACCTCATTTACAAAAACTCTTTGAGCCCAACCCAGCAGCCTTGCTCACCCAGCATATTACGGACTGGTCTAGCTGTGTACTGGACATTTTGTCCAGCAAGATACTGTGAGAGACCGTGTCAAAAGCTTTGCTAAAATCCAAAGAACCCACACCTACTGCCTTCCCTTGGTCAACTAGATGGGTGACCTTGGCATAAAAGGAAATTAAGTCGGTTAAGCAGGACCTTCCCCTCGTAAACCCGTGCTGGCTATGATCAATGACTGCGTAGTCTCTCAAGTGTTTTTTCAATAGCTCCCACAATAACCTTCTCCGTAATTTTACGAGGCACTGAGGTAAGACTGACAGGCCTGTAATTGCCAGGGTCTTCCTTCTTACCCTTCTTGAAAAATGGGACAGCATTTGCCAGCTTCCAGTCCACTGGGACCTCTCCAGGCTCCCAAGACCCTTGAAAAATAATGGAGAGAGGCCCCGCAGTAACGTCGGCCAGCTATATGTAACTAAAAGCAGAACCTGGGCCCTGACAACAAATATTTTGGATATACTTGCATCAGTGTTGTTTGACAACAAGGAACATATTGCCACATTTACACTTATCTGCAGAAGTGTAAAATCTCCACAAACCCAACGCTATTCCACATTTCCACAACTTTCACTTAGAAAGACCTTGCATAAGAGATCTGACGGGTGAGATTTGGTGAATCCAGCTACAGTGATTTAAAATACTGCCACCTCCCCTTTCTATCGTATTTTTCTTGTGGTGTTCCTCTGGTTGTTCTCTCCTCTTTTAGGTCTGAAAAAAACACAACAGATGGCTCAGCCACTTGCACTCACAACCCAACACAAAAGTTTAAACTGCTGTGGAGTTCCCAACCGCAGCAATTAAGGTGGCAAACACATTTGCTTCTGTGGCCTCTTTGCCAGAGGAACAGAGCAGAACATCTTGGGCTTGCAGCTTTTTGCCACCAAAGGTGCCCAGCAACAGCATGTGTTGCTGATGTGCTAATTTAACAAACGGCCGCCGGTCCTTGCTGAGACATCAGCTGCGGCTCCTCTTGAACCGATGTGAACGGTACACGGCACTCGGCACTTGACCAGTAAGCTGGCCTGTGAATGAAATCCCCTGCCACTATGAAACTAAACCATAAGCTTGGCAGTTAAAGTTGGTTGTAAGTGAGTCACAAAGCAGGCCAAAGGCAGCCTGACTGGAATCACATCTGCTCGTTTAAGCAGATGCAAGGGAAAATGCAGTTCCTGTCCTCACGCATTCTAGACCCCTAAATTGGTGCCCTTCTGTCAGCTCCACTATTTTTTAGTTCTCTTCTTCAAAACATGGTGAGAACTACTGGGTGTTAACCTCAAGTGAAGATAGTTAACCATAGGCTCGTTCTGATCAGCTTAAAGCTTTATTTCACACACAGGACATAAACTTTAATTCAGAGACTTGAAAAAGAAGTTAAAAGCACTTATTCTACTCTTCCAATAGATGTTTTACTGTATGACAAGAAGTTATTGTAATGAGGCTCTAAAAAAGGTTGTCTGATGCTGGGAAATGGTTACTATTTTAATACTACTGTTTATCATATGTCAGCAGAAGCTGAGTTTTTAAGCAAGTAAAACAGACAGCCAAAAAAAAAAAGTTTCTTCTGAACATTAAAAATTCTACTTTGTTTATTCCACTTATCAGGCCAGTGAGGTTGCTACCTATTTGGATGTGGAGAACTTAAATCCACTAAAATGGGGTTTGGGAGTGTGGGGGGTTTTTGGGGTTTTTTTTTGTTTGTTTCTTTTGTTTTGTTCTGTGCTCCCATGCCGTTGCTCCAAACAAGATCATGTAGCTGGAAGAAAATGTGTGCTATATAGAATTTTTGTTTCTTGGAAAAATATATTCCTTATTTACTGAGGTGTGCAGAAATTATCATTTAAGAACTATAGCACTGTTACTCTTGCCCTCAGCTATATTCTTTTTGAACAGAAGATAACAAAGTGTACAGCTGGAATGAATTAAAAGGAGATCGGGGTTCTGCATTTGGAAATTTAGCTGGATTCTGTACATCCTTCCTCCCTCATTTAACTTTCAGACTAGCATGTTTTCCCTAGCCACAGCTACTCCACAGTGATCAGGTTCCTACAAGAATCCAGAATTCTGAACAGTCATTGAGACACAAAGTCTTTATTCTTCATCCACATCACCACTGAACAAGTAATTCCTCTAATACTAAAATAGTTATTTTTCTAAGAAATGCTTTGCCTTCTATCTGGTCTAAACATAAACTGCTGCTAAGTAGTAGCAACATTTGTACATGAAGATGACAAACGTGGAAGCTGAAAAGAACCAAAATCTCAGGTCTTTGTCCTATAAAAGTGCATAATCAACCAGGAGAATCCAAGTATTTTCAAAGGTCTGAAATGAAAGGATTGGGTTTTAATTATGAACAAGGCAGTCAAGTCTGGCTTACACCTAGCTGCACTAAGAAGGAAAGAATTTCCAAAGAAATCAGGACACAGAAACAAGAGTAATACATACAACATTTTTAGAACTAACCTTGTAACCCTACAAGTCCCTAAAAGTTGGTAAAAGATGGGAAGGATGACAGTTTTGGACAAAGGATTCTGACTTTCTTATTTGTATCAATAGCATGTCAAGCATGGCCTCCCTGAGAGGAGGAACAGTCAGTAATTCCTTATGACTAAGATTTAAAAAATTCTTATTTCTCCAAGCATGGAATAGCTACCTGGAGTTTAGCAGTCATTTTGTACTGCAAGCTTATAAAAACACATCGGTTTAGGGGCATTCTTATAGACATTTACTCCTCCATCCTTCACCGTATAACTACAATATTACGGGCAGAATATCTGCTGCTAATTCTAAAATATTTTGGCTCCCACCCACTAAGAAGCCCTCAAGAACACATCTTATTAAATGAGCAAAATGTCTTCACTCCTGAGAATACCCTGCCACAGTTTAACTAGTACAGCCCCTGAAGATTCCCTTACAGCCAATGAACCAACTGTAAAAAGCAAGAGCTAATACACTGCTAAGATTTTTCAGAGTTATAAAACAAAATATGCAGGTACCCCGATATATACGTAGCCTGCTATTTAACAAGAGCCTTTTCTTTCTCGCTCAGTGCCGCTAATCCCTAGGCAAGGCACACATACTCGCAGAAGTCCGTACCGCTATTGTGAGAAGAAAGAAATCATTAATAATATATACAGGAAAGCTTACTATTAACAGCTGAAATAAGCACTTACCAGGAACGAACACATCACAGTATTACAAAACCAGGACTTATCTGTAGAATCCCATGATGCATACCTGGTTAGCTTTATTGTTTTCCTGAATTCATTAGTAATCGGAGCTTTGTAGCCTCCTTTCCTCAATAAGGAATCTATGGTTTGAATGTGGTCCCATCCTGTTGAATTTTACAGGAGTAAAAATTCGTGACAAATACGGCAGTAAGAACAGATGTTGCAAAAATACAGTACAGTATGTAGTGTTACTGATAATCAGAGTGCTCTGCTGAAGTTCTGTATAAAACATAGATCCTTCCTCCCTGCTTCAGAACAGCTGAAAGAAATATGACATATAGGATTTCTTTACACACAAAGTTCGCTCTACAAATAACATGTATTTTTATCTCGTAGTTGAAATATTTTAAAAGTGGACCCACTATATCCAGGTGTCCTAGATGGGGGTGAGACACAAAATTAAACCTTTCTGAAACGTTCAGGTACGATCATCTATCACAATCACTTTATACATTATAAAAGGCTATGACAGTATGAAAACTTAAATTTCTGTATAAAATAAAATTTAAAACAATTATTAGTTGAACATGTGCAGAGAACTTCAGAGATTAGACTTTTCCATAAATATCACTTAACTTTACAGTGATGTTTCTAATTTCAGAACTACTAGATTATATTATAGGTGGGTGGGTTATAAAAAAGTAGTGATGGATTAAAAAATACACATTGTTGTTCTAAATAAAATCTTCATGTTACTCAAAACTATTTATTGATTTTTAAAAAGCCTAATATTTTAAGTAGCTGTTAGACATGTTATTTCCAAAAGATGCAATTACATTACTCACATTCTTACATGGGAAAAAAAAAAAGGGGGGGGTGGGGGGGTGGTGTAGTTTTGGGTACATTAAAAAATACAAATGGGTAGTTTTGGGTACTTTAAAGAGTCAGATTGCAATGCATGGTCTAGTATTTAGAAATTTAAACACCCCACCCCCAATTCCTGAATTTGAAAAAAGCTTGTTTAGTGATCACCAAAGGTCTCGACAAAACCCCACTTCTCTAACTAGCCAGCCTTAGATTAGAAAAACAAAATTGTCTTGGAAAGCCTCTGAACTTTTAAGTGACTATTTGGAACCAGAATTATCAATTAAAGATGATCCTCAGTAAAGGTTTCATCCTATTCCTTAACAGACCAACTCAAATATAAAAAGGAAGAGGCGGGGGGAAGGCAGCAAGGCAAAATGTAAAAGATTGAGACACGCTGTCAAGCTTGGGAAAAAACCCCGTAGTGAGTAGTCACAGTCAGCTGCTTAGTCCAAAAGATTACTATTCAACAAAATCTACTGTGGTTTTTTTAAGTCACAAACTTCAGTCTGTGCCTCTATTAAAAGGGACTTTAACAACATTATTTTGGACTTTCATACTGGAAGTAATTCCCTTCCATCCATCAAAAAAAACCCAGGAAGCCAGTGTTTATAAAAGGAATTAAGTACTCGTAGAAAGTACCTAATTGAAAAAAACCCAACTTGATCATTGCACATTTAGGAATAAATCAGCTGTTAAGATAATTGACCAGACATCCCATCACTTAGCAGAGTTTTTGCACATCACTGATATCACAGCGTAACAACTACACAAAAACTGACAGCTTTGAACAACTGTAAAGCTGGCTGACAGCACTGTACCACCCCTCCACATTTTGTTTTCCTACAGCCACACTGCATTTATGACTTGGTTAAAAAACAGCTACAGTTTACTGAATCCCTATAAGGGGATTGATACAGGCATGTAATTGGCATTTTATAGAAGAGTCTTCTTACAATTAAATATTGCTCCATCATCTGACATCAGTGCAAGGTCAAATATTGCATTTTAGATTTATATGTATGTTTAAATTCTCCACCAGATCATATGAAATAAAGTGCAACAATGACCTTGCTCCTTTGCAACCTCCGGTAAGTAGGTGGCGGTGCGTTTTGATCCTTTTTCATTGATGAATTCTATTCTAATGCCATGTACACCCACCTGCAAGAAATTGGCAGCTTTATTAGTACATTAAAAGAAAAAAAGACACAAGAGATTTCTAACATGACAAAACCCCAAATGTGACCCTTTCAGCGGTTAATACCGTTTCGCAAAGAGTTTCAAGAGGTGGCACTGAAGTGAATGTAATCTTTTTGAAAGGCGTTCACCTTAACAGCCTTGTAAGGTCGGCAGCGGCACAAAGACGGGCCTCACCTCCCCACCACAGAGCTGCAGTTCTGGTCTGGAGGAAAGCCAGCTGAGATGCGAAAGTCGTTCTGCCTCGAGTCTACCGTCTCCCTTGGACACCGTCAGCAATGTTGTTGCTGATAAAATCACGCCATCAGCAGATATAATCTGCAGGCGACCAAACAGCTGGCAAATTTAATGATGCTTCAATTAACAGCATTCGTTTTCTTCAAAGTAACAACCGAACAATGAAAGATTTGTCATGCTACGAACTCGAGCCTGGAGCCTTCAAAATTTCTGCTAACGTATGACGAGGAAAAGGAGATATTCCAAAGCATTCAGCTTCAAACTCCTATTTCCGTGCTACTAAGTACTCTAATATGACAAAATGCCAGTATGGAATCCAAAATTACTAATACCAAGGAGTTAGATGTATATAAAGTTGAACTGCCAAAAAAAAAAATTTAAAAAAAAAAAAAAAAAAGCTAGGCACCTTTCCAGGGCATTGTTTAAGCACCCCTGTTTTCAAGGTACAATAATTCTGTTGCGAGTACCTGCCCTTGGATCAGGCACGCCATAAAAGATATTCCATTGCCAGTAAGTTTTCAGTTGCTTTTGAGTTCTGTGCGTCAACACAAAAGCATTAGTAGACGGACATTTTTATTTTCACGCCCATGTAACTACGATGTTATGTCCATTTAAATCCAACATTGTATGTGGGAATGAATAGTTTGTGTTTAAAAGGGTATCACGTTATTTTGTATGGCACTTTTTTTTGGACACAAAACTAATAAAAAAAAATGCTGTAACAGTTTTTCCAGTGACAACCTATTTTACTGTAACTGCATGTCACTCAAAAAAAAAAAAAGGAGTATTTACAAAGCTCTACCACTCACTTGTCAATTAACATATTTGCTTATATTAAGACTTTATTTTTTTTTAATTTTTATAATCTTTGTATGTGATATAAGCATGGGGAAATGGGAGGAAGAGTGTCTCTTGTGGCTGGCCATGGCCTCAACAATTTTTCCCCAAGAACCTAACATTTCTTAAATAGGGAAAATTACTTTGAGACTAACAAATTTAATTCATTGCAAATTTTAACACGGTATTTCATTACCAAACACTCCTAAACCTAACTTTCATAACATGGATATATAATCACTAGAGAGATTAAATCTGTGTCCTCAGATGAGGTAATTATGAACCCAAAGACGTGAAAGTAAAATGAAATGGTGTCAGGAGCTGAAATGAGCCTACCAAGTTTATTCCAAGAACAGAATAAGTTTTTGCAGCTGGTGATTTTGTAACTGTCTCTATTCAGTTGCCTAAGCACTCGGATGAAATATTTTCAGGTTTTGCACACCTTCAAATCCTGCAGAATATTAGATTATAAATTCTACACAACTGTTTTGCACAACAGTTTCATGAGAAACCACCAGCAGCACCAGTGATGTACTAAGCATGATGCGACATTCAAGCAGTGGGTAATTGCATTGCACCGGATCTTTCCCTTTAACCATTTTAATGGCCTGTTGGGCCCGTGTCTGTAGAAGAAAAGGATGTAGAGCAAAATGAGTAAGGCAACACAATTGCACCCACAATTCCTCTGGTTGGGAAAATTTCCTAGCGTTCTGTGAAGCGTGAATTCCAACTGCATCGCTAAGCAGTATTCTTAGTCCAGTACAAATGGCTTTTCATTGTTTAACTCCAGTTAATTGAAACCAGGCCCGAGTTACACAAATGGAAGCCACACACAAGCAAAATAAGAATGATCCACGCTAAAATTAGCATGGGCACACACAGTTAGGAATTTATTTTGACTTCCTCAAGAGACCAACGTTCCTGCATCGATGAAAACTTCCGTGAAATTTCCCCAAATATTCCTAAGATGGGAGGTACAGGGTAGGCGCGTGTTTGGAAGGCATTAACTGGACTGCAACCGGCTTGCCTACCATGCTCAGCAGAGAACTTCATACAAAGCCTATGGCATGCTTCTCAGACTAACAATGCTGATGCACTACAGGCAAGTTCTTGTAGAATAACGTTATTTGTGCAGTTCAGAAAAACCAACCAACCAATCTTCTTTGGCAGATGGAGTTTAAATTCTGTCTTATCTATTACCATTTATTAGGGAATTGCCTACATACAGGTGACCTCCTGAGCTGCACAAAAGACTACACGGTTGCCGTATCAGCCTGCCAAACGGACAGGAATTCGTTTAGACCATTGCTACTGGGAGAGAAACGTGAAATAAGGAGACTTAGAAAGGCAACAAATCAATCTCCTCCAACAGAAATATTTCTGTAGGGTTTTACAGCATGAAATACTGTATACTATGTATCCAGTACTTGTGGAGATAAAACTTTTTGGCCCACTGCATAAGTGGCCAGAGGCTACCTAAAACTAGGTCCAGTGACAGTATTAATTAAAAACCTCAGACCTTTCACTAGATCTAAGGATTGCATTAAACTACATTTTTTATTTTACTTCTGAAGTGACACCAACAGTACTTCAGACTTCGTTGTGTATTTATACACATTCATATGCATTCTTTTTTAATGCATCATTTATTTACATACACCTTGGGACGGGGGAAAACACGCACACACCACATTTATTGTTCTACCAAGCGCTTCTGGCACTTGCTAGACTATTGCTGTAATACGTCTCTCTATAGATCTCAGTTGGGCTAAGAAAGAATTGTTCCAGAACCCACCCCGAAACCGAAGTTCAAGCAACTCTCATGTTCAACTGTTCCGACTCAAAGTTCCAAGCACAGTTTACAAATCTGTTCCTCTTGTACTGACTCTCCAACCATACTGAGAGGAAGAAATAACATTATTCTCGTTAGACTATCAACATGGAATTTGGATAAGTATCTAAAACATCAAGCCTTGTTGAAATTTAAGCTTCTAGTCCACTGTGGAGTAAGTTATGATCAAATAATCATTCTGTTCAGTTTTATCTACTGCACTGAAATCTGTAAGAGATTTGCATGCAATTATCACTACTTAGTTTAAGACGAATTAATTGTAAACATTTTTGTCAGAAGTACATTAAAGCAGGTAACAAAGAATCCGTTACAAAGAACGCACATGGAATACCCCGGAGCTGGAGTAGTGCAAAACCTCCTAGGCGTCAGAAAGACGTGTCTGCCTGGTCCTGAAGTTCACTCGCTGTTTGCTGTTTCCTCCGCTCAAGACGAGAAACACGGCTCGACGTACAACCCTTACCGCCAGCTCGCCAGTTAAACTGCGACAAACTCTGCCTGCCTCGGTCCTACCAGTAACAGCGTTCACGTAGCCCCACGATGAAGCAGATCAGGCTGCTCTGGGTGACGGCTAATCCTTCTACTGACTTACGGTTTGTCAGCTCAATCTTTGAACAGCAGCAAGCTATAAAACCTTTTCTAACAAAAGAAGTTGGCCTGTAACTTGTACAGTATTCCTTATGATACCACATAACATAGTACCTTTCCCCTTTATTTACCTAACTAGTGCTATGGAAATAGCTGTATACAACGCTTCAGATTAAGTGACTATTGCTCCTTATTAGAAGCTGAGCCTATTTTTTATTAGCAGTAGTCCACAGCTTTTTAGCCTCACATTAGTAGCAAATATGCTGGCTTCTTTCTGATCACCTTTAGTAGGGCTTGAATATTACATTCTGATTTAACAATGGAGGCGAAAGACTACTCAGGAGACTACTCTCTACTTCATGACAAGCATTCTTTTTTTAACGAATCATTTATTTACATCCATGAAATCACTGAATATTGTCCAAAGAGTAAAATACTGAGATCAAGACTCTTTCTTCTCTGTTCTAAGGCATATAAGCTGCAAGAGTTGCTGGTGCCACTGCACTCGCAGGAAGGAAAGAATTTCCACAACTCTTAAATGTGCTGACTTTGTCAACAATGAAAAGCCACCTTTCAGTCAACATTATTGGCTACAACTGTTTAAGCTAATATTTAAACCAGCGCGCACGGGCTAAAGGCCTTTTGTATCAACACAGCAAGCATGTACAACTCTGCAGACTTGACTTCACTGAAGAACGACAACTTCAGGGCAAAGATCTCTTTCAAGGTATTTTAAGGAAGAGCCGCTGGTCAATTCCAGTTATTTATTACCCTGTTGGAATTACAATAATGTTTCCCAAAAAGTTTCCTATTACATACAGTCATAATAGTTATGTCGTTTTAATTAAAAAAATGGGGAGAAGGTTTGAATTAGCAAGACAAGCTTTACCTTCTAGCAAAAACCCCCATGGATTCTTAATTAAATTAATGAGAAAATACATTTAAAAGGTGTTCATTTGCTATAACGTGAAACAGAGAGGGAATGAGTAGAGGCATTAATCTTAACATCTGTATTAAGAATCAACAGCAAAATCGGAGGCATCCTGAGGCAGAAATTCAAATTTGTGCAGGAAGGAAAAGACTTGGTAGAACGGCAGATCAAAAAGATGAGCTCAAGGAGAATGGAAATAGAGATAAAGCCGAGTTTATGCAGGGAAGGAACGACTGCTATCAGTATCAAATGTGTTTCAAAACAACTGGTCTTTATGACTTGTCTCCCAAGTAGTCCTTTGATATCTGATCTTTAATAAAAAAAGCAGTACTATCAAAAAAGAAACGTATCTTAGAGTTTCTCATGATGGAAAGGTGGTGAAACTCCACCCCAGCAGCAACTGGACCATGGCAATATTGCATGGGTTCTGTCTGGCAGAAATGAAGAAAGAGTTCATGACTCCCAGTGTTCATTTCAAAGCCCTACATCTGTTCAACTACTAAAGTGCACTGCAATTCATATAAAGTCACATGTAAGTAAGAATGCTAAATTACACTTCAGGAAGCATTCTCATGAAACATGGCATTGAAATGGTCCTTTAAAGGTTTGTACTTTCTCCTAGTTAGTTTTATAAAAGGTGAAAATGGCAGCAATTTGAAAAACCACATGGGAGCTAACAGCAGTCAATTCACTCGTATCTCCTGTTATTTGGTTGAAGTTCCTGCTGCAAAAGGATCGCACGTTGCTTTTTACAACTGAAACATTAATTTATTTAGTTTGGGAAGATAATTCATTAATCAGAGAAAAGAAGATCTATCACTCTGCTTCAGGATATAGGAGACACTCCTGAGCCGTGTCTTCAAATGATTTTGTCTCTGGGCCCCCAGAGCATTGTAGTTGTCCGAATTGGCAATTTTGAAATACTGTGACCTCTGTCAGCAAATTGCTGAATTGGCTCCCACAAGGTCATCAGCAGCATACCTACAGAAGTAAGGTCTCCTAACCAGGCCGATGTTTTTCAGGATGATCTGGAAATTAGCATTATACAAGATGAAAGATGAAGAATCTCTCTTTACGTCATACTCTAGACATCCTGAAATGCCTTTCTGCCATTAATATTGCATAAAAGAAATATGGAGGACATAAGCTATCTCACTGACAGGGGCACAAACAGCGATGAATCATTCTTTTAAGGACTAACAATTAAAAATTGTATCTCTCATATTTATACACAACCTCCCCTGCCCCTTTTGCATGGAAAGCTTGTGGATGATCCACAACTATATATTACGCAATCACTTGAGAAGCACATTTGACTTATAGGAGAAAAAAAAACCCCAACCCCACCAAACACCAAACCACGAATCATGGAACCTACTTTGTGACCATTTCTTAGAATTCCTAGGAATTTGCTAAAGGTTTTAAAAAACTATCATTAAAAAACCTTAAACGAAATAGGAGAGAGCAACTAAGCAAATGGATAACACAGGGACCATTATATTTTTGACCCCTCCATTCTTCCCTCCTAAATCAGGGTTCTCCAATAAGAAGAATCGTGAGAGTCTATAAAATCAGTCAGAACTAAGCAAGACTACAGTTCTGCATTAAGTTTGTTTACACTGTTGTTGAAGTCTCAAGGAGTCTGCAACAAGACATGGAAAGGGCATAGGAAGTAAAAGCCTCCTTTGTGTCACGCAAGTATTAAAGTTACTAATCAGAAGTCTCCCAAGGAACAAAGTCAAAACCAGTCTTTCCAAGGGAGAGTGGATTTTTGAACTCAGGCTTTGGTTTCAGCTTCTCTTTAAGGATGAATATTTTGGTCATCTCAGAAGTTTATTACCGAGAGAATAAAACAGCATCTAATAATATTTATAGACTATCCCATGGAAAGAGCTAAATGCTATTTCATTATGCACTTCGCACTTTTAAAGAGACATTTTCCGAGTATATTCATAGTCTGATTTTTAATAAAGTATTATAAATTAAATTAAATTGAAAACACCACTATGGTTACTACCAGAAGTCAACCTAGTAAAGCAGAAAAATTCTACCAGTTTTAATTTTGACTTCTAGCTTGGTTTAGTATTAAAAGTCACTACAATTTTGATTACTTGAACACATCATTTAAAGTACTCTACGGGCTCAGTGACAAGACAAACTACTTCTCTGAAAAAAGCTTCTTGTTGAGAATGCACACACAGTTTCGGCTAGGATTTATTTTTTGGTCTGACATTACATAAATAATGAATAATTCTGTTTATAGTGAAAATGCTGATAAACTCCAAAGGAAGCTTACATTCCTCTCACTCAGAATTACCTATCCAAGTAGGTAGTAAGTAGTAAGAAGTAAAAGTAAAGTAAGAAGTAAAAAGTAAAAGTAAGAAGCCCTTGTCTTTGAGTTGGACTGGAAATGTATTTTTATTAGACTTTCAGCTACTGTAAAATTCATAATGCTGAGGTTACTACTGGATACCACCATTCTAATACAGTAGGGCCTCTTACCATTTTACAAAGAAATGATATTTCTATTCAATTTACATTTCTTATGTGTGAATACAACAGAAAGCCTCTTTTTCTCTTAAGAAATCCTAAATATTTAGTAGGGCTAAGTAATTATTAAAAAGAAATACTGTAACTTGTGTGTTGTCTCTGGCATTATGACATGCCTACTATCATAAAAAAATATTTTGAAATTGTCATATGTCCACTCAAATATGGACTCAAAGAGCAACACAACAGTCATACTGAGAAGAGAAGTTCATCTTAAGTCCAGTGACTTCTTTTTTGCAAGTGTCTAATACCAAATAATTTGGGAAAAAGCAGAAGAATACAGAGTAACGCTTCCTGCAGTATACCTTTCCAGAAATAACTAAAAGCAGTATTTGCTGCTTAATCTCTTTTATGCTGCTGTTCCAAGAGAATGCATGCAGGTTTCCTAGAACCTAACAATTAAAATAGATTCAGCTCCACACATAAGGACCAAAGAAAAGCAAGAGCAATGATTTACTTGGCCTCACTGTATAAGGGCTTTGTGGGGTCTGTGCAGGCCACTTGCTCTGAAAGCAAAGAAAGTTTTGGGAAAGCAATAGTTCAACTCCCACAAGCTAAATAAGGCAGCTTGTTTTGGGATTGCAGTTTTTTGCCGTGCTTGTTTCCAGAAGCCTACATCAAACTATTAACTTTCATACTGGAACATGCTCTTTCCAGGATCAATGGACTGATCCATCACGTTTCTGTAGTTCGCTATGCTACAAAAGAGATCTCAGGCCACCATCACTAAGACAATACCTTGCTTGATGGAGTCTTAGACATAAATACAGCTCTGCAGACCACTCTCTGAGTGCGTAAGTGGGCAAGAATACAACTTCATTCCATTTTCATGGCTCAGACTTTTAAGGTGATGACAGTTCTACCAAAAGGATCTTTTGAATCTATGCACAAAACGCGTATAGAGTGCAAAACAGTGACAACTACACTAAATACATGCAGATAATTTAAATGGTTTGACTTCTGCTATAGATGTTCATGGTATCAAAGTAATTTTCTTAAAAGATATCTGACGTCCTTACCTCCCAGTCCATGTAGTCACATACATCTTCAAAGTTAGTGAGTAGAGACACTGAGCAGAAAAGCCGTGGCAGCTCATCCCTCGTCATTGGGGGGAAACGACTATCTTTAAGGGCACTGTTGAAGACAAAACAGAATTTCAAAGGAATTTTTTGTTTGTTTGTTTGTTTGGGGATTTTTAAGTTCAGGGATCTAATGAATCAACTGAAAAGTATAAAGGATAAAAAAAAATCCTGATGAAATGATGAACAGTTTGATAATCCAGTTGCCAGTGTAACACACTGACCAACTTTCCCAACTTTTTCCTTAGACATTTGTTTCAGTTCTTGGCTGGCCAGTCAGTCAAGTGGTGTTCTGAGGGTCATTCCTGCCTGAGCTGATTTTGGGACTGTGACAATCTTATTAATGAAGCAGCAGAAAGTTTTTGGAAAAAGCTACAAAAGCAACAGCTCTTCTACCTGCAATGTAGTAAATGCCTTTTCAAAAAGGCTTAAACTATCCACATAAAAGCAGAGGGGGAAATTCTATAGCCTGCAGTAATCAAACACAAAATACAGTAATCAAACTGTAGAACTTAATTATTCAGGGGAAAAGAAATCCAAACAAGCAGAATATTCTCCAAAAAAGAACAATATTCATGCGTACTGGCAAAGGTGAATATAAAAAGGTAAAAACATCCAAGGGCTCTACAGACTTGTAAACCTACAGGACTTGAAGATGTTCTGCAAAGCAGAGGTAATGATTAGTAACAGGGAAGCCTGCACACAGCTAAGCTAATTCTCAGGCTAACGTACCATTCTATAGACGTACACACACCCAATGGGGTAACATTCAATACAGAGAGGAGCTATGGGTGCAAATTCCAACGACACGCTTTGAAAAACAAAGCGATTAACAGACAGTACACAGTTACCACCATTTGTAAAAACCGACTTGCTTAAGTTTGGTTAAGAACCAGTTAAACTGGAAAAGGGAAGGTTACAGAGAGCATGGCATCTCATAATTTTTTATTCTCCTAAGATTCAAAATATGGCATGTATGAATATAAACATGCTCATCTCCAGCAAAGACAGTGATCTGCCAAAGTGACCATTTTGATGAGTGAAAACAATTTAAGATTAAGAGACTTACTAAAGTACTACCAAATTCTTCATAAGTCTCCTTGTTTCATCTAACAATTAGAACATTCTTATTTGTTTTACTTGGCATACAGCCAGAGATTGCCATTACCTGATACAATTACAGCCATGGTATTTAGAATATGGCTGAAGCCTCTGCATCAGATACCACCATTTTATGTAAGGAGTAGCATAACTTTATTAAAGCAGACCAAATAAGGATGCATAAGCAAAAAAAGGTAAAGTTTAGCTAAAGGAAATAATCATATGTGTAACCAGAAATAGCTTCCCATCATGAATTAATACCATACACTGAAGAGTTAAAACAGAGCTTTATTTTTCTGGGGCAGGGGGAAGGCAGGCATTTTTCCCAGATACGCTACAATTACAAAAACAACATAGTATTGGAATTTGCTTTGGTATTTTTACATTATAAAATAGGTCAGAAATTTAGATTTTCATTATGAAGACAAATTCATTATACAATTATGCAACGGTTAGCAGGCCTAGGCTACCTGTTATTTAGAAGTAATTCTCAGCAACTCCAGGTAAAGTTGCCATAGATGGGAAAGAAGATGTTGGGACAGTAAGTAACTAGCCAAGATAAATCTTTTGACATTTATGTAGGTCAGACAGGCCTACACAGACCTGTGAAGAACCAGGAACACTAAGGAGATTTAAAGCATAATGCCAGTGATATTGAACTAATGACTTTCACTGAAGATCTATCAAAAGATGGTATTCTTCCAGATTTTGTTGATGGGATTTGCAAAGCTAGCTTTGTAACTGCTCGGAACCAGGCAAAGTTCTCATCCTGGTGTTTCAGAGCAACATCAGAGATCAACTCATATCGCCACAGCATAACAGCAACCTAAGAAAACATGAACAGCTAATTCAGCCTTCATATCCCCCAACGTAAGGGGTGTGGGGGGGGGAAGTATATGTAAAGGGAGGATACTCTGAACACAAGAACAACTCAAACCAGAAGTCCATCTAGCCTAGCATTAAGTTGTTAACTAACAGCGGTAAGCAAAATGAATTAATATAAGAACACAGTAAATATCCAGGGGTACTTTCCTAGAACACTCCCCAGGAATCCAGCTGTTTATAGCTTTGGTATTTTGAGCCAGAGATGGGATCTCGGCACTTAAGAGCTCTTCACGCGTTTATTTAATAAGCGCATGCATCCACACTTTTAGTGTTTTACCCCACCTTTTACTAAAAACTAAAAAATTAGGTTCAGAAACCCCAATCCTCTTAAAAATCCATTGCTACTACAGGTTTGCTTATATGCAAATTTCTCATTTCCCTGAGGTATGCTGTACCTCTATCATATAACCAATCTATTTGAATACACTACTGAAAAGTGCCTGGAGAGACAAGCATTATTTCATTAACGAAGAACAAATTCGGTTATCTTAGAAAACAACTGTATGCATAGATATTGCCAATACTTGTTAAACCTGTTTTTCATAATTTATGCAACAATCCTACCATGCAAAACATTTCCCGTATTGTCAGAATTTATAACCTTCAAAAAACTTTTTTTTGCACAGCTCGACACAAGGAGTTTATCTAACTTTCAATTCCCCTTCCTAAAGCTGCCAAAATGCACTTGTGAGTTGCAACTTTTGGAAGCAAAGGTTGTCTACTATGGTTGTAAACTGGGTGTACACCTGATCCCAACGTGAGCAGTAGAAGTCTCAGACAAATTCCCACTCATTGCAGATCTACTGCACTGGCATTACTAGATGAGAAACCATCCTTAATTTAACATACTTTAAGTAGTAGAGAAACAAACATCGTACAACGCACGCCTAAGCCACATCTCAGCTAGCCTGCTCAAATGCTGAGATAATAATTTGAAGCAAGATGGGTGAATCATGACAAATTTGAATATTGATAAAAAGCCAAGATATGAAACCTTCACACGAACACAGTGGAAGCAGAAAGGCGCACAGAGGCACAAAAGCCTCGGGCACACCCAGCAAACAAAGTAGTTCAGTTTTAGTGAAAGCAGAGCCGCGCAGTGAACGCTGCGTACTTATTAGCAAGCTTCGCTGGCTAATTCCAGTATTCAATAATACGACACTGGCACAAACACGTTGCTTTCACGGAATTACCTCATGATAACTAAAATATTGCTTATGCAATGACAGCGCCATTTCAACTGTACCTAGTTTCTTCAGAACTGCTAGGTGCTACTGTATCTGCACAGCCTGCTGAAAAATTGCTCCTCGACACCTCCGTGACTGTACACATCGGTGCACAGATCCTGCATTAGCACTCGTGCTGCTGAAGATAAGCGAGACACCTGGCAGAACAAGATCAGAGATTTGAGTAACGGTCTCTGACGCCACTGCGACTGGTCAATACGGAATATTGCTGCTATTCTGTTCCTCCTTACCCTGTCTCCAGACCCCATCTTACAATTTGTTTTCATCTTTCAAAATAGCTTTGTCTCTGTTGTTAGGTAAGTAAAACCAAAATTTACCTGGAGAAATTTGTGTTGACAAACAATCAGCAATTGTAACAAAACATAGTGAAGGCAGATGCCAACAAGACAGCATTTATTTGTACTGGTTAGCTACACATGAAGTGTTCTGTCTACTAAATGCAAAACTTATGAAACCAAAGTAGTCCAGCAATTGTATCAGATGCTAGTTTTAGAAGAACTAGCTTACAACTGAATAAACCTGCCCTAATGAGTTTGATCTAGGTGCATCATATACTACTTTAAAACTAGGAAATGTGTAAGTGCTGTATATTACAGTTAGAGTATCAGTTGCCTTCTCAGTCATTCTTTTGTTACTACTATGGTCGAAACTCTAAAGTAAGTTCAACGTACCTTCTGAAAGCCTGAAAGCAGACCAGCTTTGTATCATCTCTTCACAGAGTAACTGTTTTCATTTTTGCATCTTTAATGCTTGGTTAGCAGGAGACATAGCTCATTAGAGATGCTTCCCTTCAGAATTCAGCCATTATCCTTGAGCCTAAACCTTCTCTCTGTGGGTAGCGAACAGATCGCCATCGGCTGTTCCGATGGTGTCAGGAAAACAAGCGGATGGGTCCCAGTAGAGCTCCTCAGGGGCAGCTGCCCACACGGCACAAAACCTGAGCTCTCGGTGGTTAACAGACTGGCATCACCCTCGGAAGTGTCAGCAGATCTCAACACTTACCAAGGATAAAAAAGTTTGCACGAGCTTTTACTTTTGTTGTTCCTGTTCTGGGAAGAAAGAATGTCAGTTTGTAGAGGCAGCAGTTCGGCACTTACCATGCACTTCATACGCTCTACAAAGACGTACGCATGTCAGTTCAGACTTTTGCCTCACTTGCCACGTTAGCATGCCTCTGGGTGACCAACTCAAGGCAAGCCTGAAATACAGACAAGCTGACGTATGCTTGTTCTCCTCAAAAGCCTGTTACTGGTCCGAGCTGTTCAGAATGAAAAGTCACTGTACAATTGTC